TCCTGTTTGCCTTTCTTTGCTTGTGGTTTAACTGGGTACGACCACGATTAAGCTTATTAGGCAAAAATTTATTTATATGAAATCTTAATATTAAAAGTATTTACTCTTAATAAAATTTAGGACTAATACTTTCAAGATTTTATAATCAAAATTTTTATTTCCTATTTTTTTCTTGTTGTTTTTTTAGCTTGGATTTAAAATAATCATAATTGCTTGGATTTATCACTCGAGCATTTAATAGACCCTCTACGCTCAAGATTTTTTGGTTGATTGCATTCATATCACATGTCCAGAAGGAAAGTGTTCTCGCTGACCAAGCATATGCCCTATATGCCTAGGTAGTTTTGTCTAGCACATTTAAAGTGTTAGAGGTAGTCCCAACCATAATGGGATTGTGAGTCCTTGGTGGGGCTATTTATTTTGTAGCCTGGTCACCCACCCTTCTTTCCACTTTGTAGGCCTCCTCCCCATCATACCCTAAGTTGTTGTACGTCATAATATACCTTCTTATACCTAATTTGAGTCATATGAGCATAACTAGATTCTATTTTGAGTTTAGGGCTACTAAAATACCATAAACGATGCAACTCAAGGGTTGCTAACACGTGAATCTTGATTGAGTTGGGTTTACTTCCTTCCTAACTGAGCAAAATTAGATTTTTCATAGCTTGGGACTACAAATCTGTGAAATCTTAACATTATTATTTCTACCTGTTCAGGACTTTTCCTGCATATCGTTGGCTAACCACTTTGAGCCCTTTCTATACTCCTTTGTTTAGTCTTATAGTTGTTTCGTAGGCTCTCTTTGTTGAGGAGCGGGCAACCTATAAGGTTATAGTGATTCACCCTTTGCCCAGTAGCTTAGTGAACTCCCTACAGACATGAGATTTCCCCTATAGGAGTTGTAACAATCACCATGGGACCTATTCTTTTCATGAAGACAATCTTAAGCAAGCATAACCCATTTTATCAAACCTTTTCTGGGTATCTCCAATGATGTAATTGGTCACGAGGATACGTCGTCGTAGTAGTTCACTTTGACTCCAAAACAAAATAAATTTGATTTAATCTTTTGGTTTGGTTGCGAATGACTTTTTATAAGATTTTTTTCGTATATTTTCTTGGGTTGAGCATAATCCTATTTACTTTGGACCGTCCACCTCCAATTTATTTTACTAGAAATTTTCTATATAACTATCTTCATAACTACTTTTTTATTTCTTTAAAATTTTTGTCCACTTTCAAGCTTTCCATTCTTCCTTTGCTTTTCTAAGTAAGGGTGACCAAGAAAGATGGGTATGAAAATGACAAATGCTAAGAAGGCTATTTTAGTCAAAATAAAACGGGGCGCAAAGATACCTTTAATAAAAATCAATCAAATATAAATAAGAAAAAGTCTTAAGATATAAAATTTTATATAAGTTCGTGCATATTCACCTAGGCCGCACGATCTTTAAGGTTGAGTCATAAGTCCCAACACGGGTTAAATAAATTAATAATAACCTTAAATATCCACTTATGCACATGTCTGGTATCACGGTTTTGAAGTGCAAGTGAGTTAGGTGGTAGCAATCTGCAAGCAGGCTTGTAAGCCTATAAGAGTTGAGTTGGATTCCACTCATTTGAGGGAGTGAATTTCACAAGTTTCACTTTGTCTCCTTAGACTAGGTTTGAACTCCTTACACTTATAAGTATCCCTCACCTTAGTTTTGGTTTTGAGTTAAACTTCTCAACTTTTTTGCTAAAAGGTGAGTCCTCACCTTCGAAGCATCTTCACAATCTCGTATCATAATCTCGTATAGAATGTAATTAACTCTAATGTCTTGTCACTTCAGAGAACATGTATGCGAGAATAAAATATATCATATCTCACTGATATAAGGCAAAGGAAAAATTGCTGCCATCATAAACCTCGAATCTTGAAACTATCATTATGTGATTAAATCCATCATTGATTTGAATTTTATCTTTCGAAATGATATTTTATTCATGATATTGTATTTGGCCACAAAATGCAAAATTACAAATATCTTGTGTGGTCCACACATTCCCCCTCTAAAGGGAATGATACCCACTCCATAGCTAAGAACAATAGTTGCTCATCATGTTAAACTAAGGCATGAAAGATATGGAAACCATAATTCAATTATCCATTATACATCTCATGCACATCATTTATAAAATAATTTCCTTAATAAATTAGGATCAATTGTGGTTGATCACATGCTTGTTGTTAATTGCAATAACTAAATGCATTACCACTTAAAAAGGTTGACCGTTATTTGAACTTCCATTATTATATATAAGGATGAATTGTCAACTTAAAATTGCTACTAAAATAATTAAACTTATTAGCTCTTTTGATATTTGCACTGAATCTTCAAACATTATTAAAGCTATTTTTCAAAATCAACTTTTAAAATAGCATTTCATGATTTCTTATAATTATTCTTAAGCCCTCAATATTTAAATAATTTATCTATTGTATATCCTATCGAATTTTATTTATTTAATTTATTTGAAGTGCTACTTCTAAATTTATCTTCCACAATTGAAAGTTCTCCAACACCACACTTCTTTTCTATCTTTTGCAAGCTTCACAATACCTACAAAATTTATGATTCATGCACCTCATTTATTATTGAGGTTTCATGCTAGATAAATACACAACTACTTAGTTTTGATTAATCCTCCTCACACAATCATACATGAAAAATTACCTGATATCACTGCTCCAAGTTATTTTAATTATTTTTTTATTTTTTTGCTCTTAGAATTCTCATTATCTGTTTTGTAAAATGAATAATAAAATATAACAAATCTTATATACATTGAATAGAATGAACTTTTATATGATTTTTCTTCATTATATTTGAATGATAATTCTCTAATAAATAATTTAGTGCCCTGCATATTCAAATGATCATATAAACTCCTTAACAAAATTTCCAAAATACTGAAAACCATTTTATACAACACCTTTCTTCTCCTACAAAAATTAGAAAAAATATTACATCAGGACTCTGAATGCATTTAGAGTTCAAAGGTGGGGGCGTCACGCGTCAAGTGAGCTTCATCAATGTCAGTGTATTAAGGTAAGACTCACTTAACACTTGGAATCTCATCATTGGACTCCGAACACAGATTACGTTAGGAGTCATGATGAATTATTTTCTCCAACAAATCTAGGGCACTGAACATCCAAAAGCTAAAAGAAATAAATAAACAAACAACTGATGTTTGCAGAAGAAGAAACACAATCTAAAGACCAATATAAAGCTCTCTCTTTTTAATTGGAATATAACTTTTTAAAGCCCTCCAACCCACTTGTGGAAGTGTAGAGATGATAAGGGAACAAAATCATGCACTGCAGCATTTCACTAACTGCAAGTAATAAGTGCTGTTTCTTCAGCTGTCCACTTTCTCTTCTTCACCCACTAAAGTCTGCTTTGCTTTATTTGAATTGCTGGTTCTTATCTCTTTTGTATACTATATTTCATCACATCTTAATTGTATATTTCTCCTATATCTTCACCTTAGATTTTCCTTTGGCTTCTTCCTTCTCTGCCAGTGAGGCTGTGGACTTCTTTTGCCCACCTCATGGCTGCCATATCCCTTGTTTCCTCCATCCTTTTTAAAGTTACTTTTAAAATATTCTGCTAAAAATAATAAAATCCTAGCACAAGTTTAAAATATTATGAATATATATATATATATATATATATATATAGGAGAG